ATTTACACTTCTTAATGCTGAAATTGATCGATTATCCATACATATTAAGAAAACATATATGTCAAAGAAGATGTTAAGCCAAATGTTGCCCCGGTAGCTCAGAAAAAGTAAAAAACTAATTTTCTCTCTACAGACCTCTTTGCCCCTTTAATTAACCTATGCAGCCGTTTGTAACAATCCAATGTTTACTGCTCCCTTACATGAAAAGTCTAAATCAATGTTTTACCCCTCAAATGCAGAGCTGATCAATTAACCTTTAGGTAAGTGTGCTGTTGATAATGGTCACGTGTAATGCTAATGTGAATTATAAGCTGCTAAGTGCCATAACATTCTAGGACCATGAACAATTGTAAAAATGAGTGTTTAATTACTGAAGTATTCAGTTGTGTAAATTGAAGTCAGTTATAATTATTGAAAACCCATCCATGTTGCCAGTACCTTAGATTTCTTTCCAATAAAATGAGGAAGGGACGTTTTGGCCTGATCCATTCCATCGATGATAATACTAAGATATTTCTTAGGATTTTCCTTTGATTTATCACGTCTCGCATAGTAGGCAGCCCTCTCAAGCCTGAAAATACGCTTGCTTTTAGAAAAATTTTGTGAATGTATTTTGCCCATTATATTTACGCAACTACTGCAGTTCACTGTCCGGAATAAAATAATTGAAGATCATAATTTACAGTATATAATACCGTCTCATAATGAACAGAAAATGAGGTCCATATAAGAGAGAGAGAGAGAGAGAGAGAGAAAAGCATTGAAAGCATTGTAAATACCCAGGCCCGTAGCCAGGCGAACCCCCCCTGACCAAAATTTCTTTCAAAATCATGCAGTTTTTCACCATTCTGACTATTTTTTGAGTGATTTTTGGCCAAATTTGCCAAAGTGAACCCCCCCCTAGAATTTTTTGGAAAAGTGACCTCCCCCCTTGGAAAATTCTGGCTACGGGCCTGATACCCTTTGCATTCGTTCGACTTCATGTCTTAAAAAGAGGTTCGTTGAAGTTTATAACTAGACTGCGCGCAGGGTGCATAATAAAGGGGATGAACAGCAAATTCACATCATACCTTTGACGTCTATCGTGCAGGGCCCGCTTCTTGGCAATTTTCAATTTTCTCTCTTTGGTTTTCGCACCCTCTTCCTGTCGTTCTAATAAGGTGCATTTGGCGCATCTACTAAAAGAGTTTGTCTGGAATCATTCATTATAAGTACATCAACAAAAACGTCAAGGAACCAAATAATGTACATATACGAATATGTTAAATCATTATAATTATATAATTTATTTGCCTAAATTGCACATAAATGCAAACGGTTGAGTAACCCTACTAAGGTGGACATCAAAACAAGTCAGAAATGGTGAAGACATGGCTTTTAGAACATTAATTGTTTTTAGTTTGTTTAAGTATGTGCGCATTTAGAACTAGGATGAAATCCTCCTAGATTTAATCCAACGTGCACTTAGACCTACAAGGTACAATACAGTACATCACAATTTCTTGATGAATGTTGAGAATGTCGGATATCTATGACTGTATTATATTTCATAACTGATGTACTGGTCATGAAAGAAATGTTTGTTAACTGTGTTAAATAACCATCTGCGTACAGGTACGACTGAGGTACTATGACTGAAAAGATCAAAAACAAATAAGTGTGGTCAAACAAGTTGATACATTGAGTTGGTACTAGAAAATGACTCACTGTTTTAATCTTTACATGGCTAAAATATTTCTTTCTTGTGTTCCTAAAAGAACTGTAAGAAACAGAAATTTCATCTTTCCTAACCATGTCCTCTTTATATTTTGAGTAAATATCCTTCCACTCGGTCTTGTAGGGAAGCCAGATTTCGTCTACTTTCTTGTGCGGCATTCGACAACCGCCTAATGTTACATAGTTGCTGAACCATGCTGCAACTTTCGCATCCCTTGAAAACCGCTTGGTCCGGTAACTTCTTGCAGAATTTAAAAATCCCTCCGCCACTTTATTGTTACATTTATAAAATGCATGCTTGGGGATCATGTAAATTGCTCTCCAGCAAAGTGAGCATACATTTATTGAATATAATGATGTTGGCACTCTAAACGATTGTTTATCAACCCCATGCTTTGAAAGCCTTATTTCATAAAGTAACCATTGGTTACGTTGAATAAAGTTTTTTGTCCAAAAGGACTCCCTTGCATGTTTTATATCATTAAATGTCAGTATTTCATGACATCGATTTGAACAGTGGTTTGTAGCTATGCAATTCTTTAAATAGACTCTCCCTGAATACTTCGTATAAGCATTTTTGATGTTCTGGCGCCTTTGTTCTTTGCTGAAATAAACATAGATGCAAGAGTTAGCTATACACAGATTTATTTGGAACTACTTTTCTAACATTTAACACGTTGGAAGACGGGATGACGTTTAATATATTCAATGTAAACCTTACTTACTGAATATAAGTATACAAAATAACTCGAACTATCGGGAAAATATATAGTGGTACTTAACAGGGAATAACAAAACAGGAAGTGACAAAACATTGCTGCATTTAAAGACATTTTTGAACAAAGATAACAGAGTTCTGTTTTGAACTCCAGTCAATTAAACCAGTTCCACGTATCATTTACATGACCAGGATCACAATGTACATGCGGTCAGAATGACCCTAAACATGATGAAATAACTTTTTCAGCCCTCTGAAAATGTAGCTGAAAAATAGCTAAAAGTAGGAGCTTGGGAAAGGTCACTGAACAGATTTTTCAGATTTTTCCGAAAATGTGCCCAATGTATACCATGGTCGGGAAATTCTTCGCGGATAACTAATACATGTGCAGAATGCAAACATTAATCAAAAGAGGCGGCTTTTTAAATGACACGATTACCCGCTTTATTGAAACCAAATGAGAATACAGCCCATATATATTTTGTCTTGTTGAAGCAATCCCATTTTCATTAAAAGTTCTCTTCTAAAGAGCTGTGTCTTTGAAAATACAATTCTTTAAAATTAGACAAAAACTTGCCAAGTAAGAGAGTTACAGACGATTTGGAAATTGCATCCTGATAGCAGTTTTAGTTCTGAAGTTCAGTTTGAGTACTGCGATAATATTTACAACGTTATTAGAATCACTGCTGAAATTACTGCAATTGTTTTTAAAAACCCAGAAAATACGGTTAAGATTCCCAAGGCCAACCCCTTGAGACTTTCCATGTTCTATACATGAAAGTGTAGCACAGTTTTATAATTGTTGATATCCCAAACAGTGAGCCCAAACCTCCTCGGATACTGCATGGCATATTGCAGTATCATTATTCTACCTCAAGGAAAAGGGGGTGTATCATTAGGGGAACATGGGGCAAAACGGCCCTCTGGGGCAAAGTTGCCCATCGAAATATCTTTTGAACTATAAAAAGATGGTTCTTCAAAAGTCACATAATCGAATTTTGAAATGTCTGCCACCTTCTCAACCGCCCATTTTTAACCAAGCAGCGTTTCGCTTTACGTAAGAGGTAATTCTATTTTTCACCCTCTTTTTGTAAATTACCCCTCCCACGAGAATCTCTAAAAAATCCGGCAACAATAGAATATCGTTTTGATTTAACATTTTTCATAGAGCTTGCACATTTATTCTTTATTTATAAAAATTTCGAGCTTCAAATATTAGGCAAATTAAAATGACGTCTATTTGAAAATTACAAAAGTCTTTGCGGCAAAACGGCCCACACATGTTATAACATACAAAAATCTTATTTTGCAAGTAGAATTGGTTTTCAAATATAACGATTTTAACATTTGGTTTGTACCTTATTTCACTCCGACACATATCGAATGACTAGAATTATGGTAGCGGTGAAGGATTCTTTATCTGTCAAAGATTTGAACGTCTGAGATAAGAAGTGTATGGACGAGTCTTGTAATTGATTAATTTTGGTTTTAATACCCATGTAACAGAGGGTGGGCCGTTTTGCCCCACCTATGGGCCGTTTTGCCCCACTCTCGACAATATTTTTGACCATTGAAAAATCACAGCAGATAGTCCTAGGCAAGTATAAAACACTCGAAAAATGTAAACCACAAACCATTGATAAAGTGGAACATCAAAGTGCGCGATGATTGACAGATAAGAAAATACCCCGTACAGAACAACTTAAAATTAATTTTTAGGGCCGTTTTGCCCCATGTTCCCTTAATAAGAATAATCATTACATTAACCAATGCAACAATTAATGGAATTAATATCATGAAGATTAAATCTCTTCTGTTTTCTGGGATTTTTTATATTCATAATCAATTCATCATTGAGCGGCTTCATCTCTCTATCACATGTACAATTACTTTAAAGTGATCAAACTTGTTGAAACCCTATTTGAATATTGATCTAAGGGAAGTGTGCAGCTATGTTGGTTTCATCAAATGTATGTCATCTATCAGACTTTATACACTTAGACTCGATTAAATAATTGACGAGGAGTCTTCTAAGCCATTACAGATCGGTAAATAATTTTGCAGTTATATGAACCATTAACTTTCAAATGTAGTGTGGAATATAATGCACAGCACATATCAGTAGGACATTCGCTTTTCAAAGCTTATCTCACGCGGTATTAGCTTCGACCGTTAATTTGAATTTTTGACCTACCGGATGTTAGAAAATCAAGGATTGCGAGTCTCATACAGCACCGTTTTCTTCAAACTTATACCATTAAAAGCAAATCAAAATTGCCTTTCTGTCGGTGCATTACTGTATTGTAAAGAGTTCCTCGTTCTAGCAGTGTTTTGGTCCCCAGCTGTTAGAAGGCCTTCTTACAGCTGGGGACCAAAATGCCGCTGGAAGAAGGGACTCTGTTTAGAAGAATAATGTACCAACAGAAAGGGATTTTTGTTATGCTTTGAATGGAACAAGTTTGAAGAAAAACGGTGCATTATGAGACTCGTAATCCTTGATTTTCAAACATCCGGTAGGTCAAAAATTCAAATTAACGGTCGAAGTTAGTACCGCGTGTATCTGCTTCTGCTGAAGATTAAATGATTAATAACACCACTTTCCAGTGCCTGTGTGTTGTTTATCTCTTACTTCTCACTGTAATCACTGCTAAGATATGGTCAGAGTTTTGATTAAACCTCTTAAATAAAATTCTTAAATTCATTATATTTATACTAATGTATTTTTCACATGTTTCATTTTTAGACAATGATAAAGAAGAAATTCTGTGCTTTAATATTGTGAAAACGGCTCATGCTCATCAACCATTTAGAGAAAGACATCTGAAGTTTCACTGTACTTGTAATCAACACTTTCAAATCTATAGAGAAATGCTTGGTTTAATGTGTTAAATGTGTATCCATTTTATTTTCTATTACCCTACTGTTTTAAAATCATTTTAATAATTTTGATGAGTTACTAATTTTACTTTTTAATTATTCCAAATTGAAAACTTTTCTTAAATGCTACTTTCAATTCATGATAAAAAAAAATATCTCAAGTTTTTTTATTTTAAGTTTCAATTTGTGTACACCATCCAGACAGGCAAAGTTGAACTTTTCACTTTAATTCTCATTTACTATGCAAGAAAATTGATAAATATTAGTGCAATATGGTCAAGAGAGACCTTAAACATGTTAACATAATGAGGTGTTAATTGATGGAAAGATTACTTTGATATAAAACCAATTAGAGAGTGAAATTATCTGGTAGGGGTGGAATACTGATGATTTTGTTTGTGGAGTAGTTTCTGCATCCATGTTGCCAGTACCTTAGATTTCTTTCCAATAAAATGAGGAAGGGACGTTTTGGCCTGATCCATGATATGTATTTTTATCTATTATTTTTGTCATTCGCACCATACATTTCTGTGCCACCGCTCTTAGGGCACTATGAAAAATCAATCAATTAAAAAATGCATTTTCATTTTCAAACTGTTTTTTTACTAAACTGGATCACAATTATTTCATACTTTTTCATTTCAAGCACCAGTATGATTTATAGCACCTGTTTTAGTTTTGGAGGCCCCGTGAATAAAATATGACTTTGCCATGGTATATGGTGTGCTCATAGTGTAAATAAACAACATACCTATTTCGACAGCCTCTTCGATTGTTTTGTCATCCGACCTATCAAGTTTTGGTTGAACTACTTCCAAATCCGACCCCACATGCTCAAGGGAATTCACGCTTGATTCAGACGAATCTGATTCAGAAGACGAGCTTTCTTCGAGCCTCACAAAGTACGGTGGAACAACGGTGTTGTTATCATTAGATTGTCTTGGCTGGAATAAGGACTTTGACACTTTTCTTTTAAATTGTCGTTTGTTCAATTTAGATTTATCGACCCTCTGACAACTGCGCACACTGGAATCACTTTCACTTTCAAATGAAAATACATTTGTTTCACAGCCATTAGAAACCAGTGTCTTATCTTCCTCCAAAGGCGATGAAAATTCAAATTGTGTTGACTCTCGTAATGATCGTTTTAGGGTAACATTGTTAATATATTTACGGCGTTTTTCGACCTCGGAACCATATAGTGGATGTTGATCTTTAGAAAGACTGATACCATTGTTTGAATCGATCGGGGATGAATGTTCAAAATTAATCAGATCTCGGGAGGTATTCTTCTCTTGGAAAACGGAATCAATTGGAGATGAGGGCTCGAAGTAGATTGAATCCCGAATTGTAGAAGAGCTCTGAAAATTGGGCGACTTCTCATATACGAAAGAGTCTCTTAATGGTGTACTTGAACTTGCACGTGTTTTAGCGTCGTCTTTGTGCTGATTTGTTATAGGTGAAAGATTCCCCGTAAACATATGGCAATTGCATGCACCATTGCAATTGCAAGCGAAGCTTTCATGGGTGCTATCAAGTTGGGTGTAAATATCACTTCTACTTGGAGTTGATGTTTGTCGCACACCCCCTTTCAAGCCCATCAAGACGTAAATATTCATCTCATCGTGCTCGATCTGCTCTTGATGAATTATCTGTAATGCAATGTAAATGATTGCAAAAACTACTTGGCTGCTTAGTACTACACATAACACAATAAAATAATAAATAAGCGTTGTGTCTGCTATTTCACAACTGTAAGTTGCAGTGTATCCTATCATAGGCGTAGCCAGGGGTGTGTGCGATATGTGCGTCGCACCCCCCCCCCCATATATATAAATATAATAATGATAATGATAAGAGCTTTAAAATACTTTTTATTTGAAGCTTCTTGCTCAAATTCGAAAGAAGTTGCATCAATTTTTGTAAAATTCAAAATTAAATCTTATTTTTTGGCTTGTTTACTGAAAACCGAATTTTTGGGCGATCGCACCCCCCCCCCCCCCCCCACTGAAACCTGGCTACGCCCCTGTCTGTCGTATTCGATTGCAAGCTTCTTAAACACTATCGTTCGAGAATTAAAAGATCATATAATAATTACAAAACGTATTATATAAAGCAACATACCATTTTACCGTTGATGTACAACTGCAGTAATTCCTGGGGTATTCCTAAATGTGTGGAAACCTTGTCGTGAATGATGTGTTTGAATTCGGCAACATCTATACCGACTCGAATTTTAGCGATTAGTTTTTCTCCATCTGGTAATATTATTGTGCAACGTTTTTCAATGATCATATCCTCGTCGTTGTACATCATAAACTTACGAAAATTTCTACGAACTGTCATAAAGTCGACGGAGTTTATCAAGGCATAGACGTATGGTAGAGCATCTTGGAGTTCCATTAAATAAAAAGACTCGTCTAATTTAAATGACATATCATCGGCATAATCAAAGGGGGGGTGTATAGAGATATTGTATATCGTATAAGAGGCTGAAAATTTATTGTATATTGTATAAGAGGGGGAAAAATTTATCGTATATGGTATAAGAGCTGTAAAAAATATGGTATATGGTATAATAGAAAATATATGGTATATGGTATCTAGAATTAAAAAAGGCTAATTATGAAGAAATTGCACCCTAAAGTTCCCCATTGTGCCAACTCTCTTACTGTAACCGTGTTGGAAAAACATGGAAAAGTAGTCTCTCTAATTGGTTCCACATTCCAGGTCAATCAATACTGTAAGTTTAGAAAAAATCCTTCTCAAACTAAGAGTTTTGTGCCCTTTTCATTCAAATTTTCACAGGAGGTGTTAAATATCGTCTCAAATAAGAATCACGCCGGATGATCAGAAGAAATGAACGGAGGGGGGGGGGGTAGATCTAGCTGATTTTTGGTAGAAAATTCAACAAATCTTGAAGATTTATTTTTTCAAGAGAAAGTTTACAATTGAATGGCTAAATGAATAGACGCAGTGGACGGGGGAATACGAGTGGTGATCCAAAACTCTTGGAAGCCCTGCTCTAATTTTGTTGGTTTTTGATAAAATTACTTTGAACTTTCCAATAATAAAGACCAACAACCTAACTACTTTGTGTATTAATTTCATGGTGAAATGATATATTTTATGTAGTTTTCTCGATAGTTATTAATTTAGCGACCCTGCCACCCGGAACGGTATTCGCACATGACAACTTTCAGCCTTAAATGTTGCCGCTATTTGACTTGTTTTGCAAGTCTTGACCACTATCTTTTCTTAAATTTTGAATGTTAAACCATGTTAGTTTACTTCCTTGGTTACTCGGCAACCAATTAATTGTGTTTTAATCATAATGTCACATATGACAATGGCCATATATGTCAAGTTCTAAGAAAATGACATCAGACAATCAACCAACATTCTGGTATCATTTTTGCTCCAAGATGGCTGCTGAAATGCAGAACATGAAAGAAATCAAAGTGAAACAAAGAATACTACAATATATTTTCACTATTATTGACCTTGAGCAACTACCATAGGCACGTTACAGTCTAGATATGGCTCCGTGTGATTTTCTTTCTTTTCTCCAAGTCGAAAGGAGGGTTGAAAGAAAATGTTTTTACTCATTGGATGAGGTTAAGAGTGGCACTCCAGCAGCATTTGTATCAAAAATTTGTCATCATTGGTTTTGTAAAACACGTTACCATACGTTATATAAAAAGTAATCTAACGTTAAAATCTAACGTTAAAATTGAACGGAGGGGGGAGTAATATGTCTATAAGACATTTTTCATTTCTCAGAGTTGTAACATCAAGTTACTGAGTAAGTGAGTTCAATTTTCAAGTACACGAATTTGTGGAAATCTCTTCCACCTTAAAGACATATTACTCCACCCCCCCCCTCCTTTCCCTCCCCCCCCCTCCGTTCAATTATTCGATTATTTTTATCTATCATTTGGAAAATTATTTTAAAAAACCGGCAAAGAATTTTGTGATAAAAACGTTGCTTATATATTTATTACAGGTCGTACAGACCATTGTTGCTTGATTTATAGCAAAAACATTGGCATTTGCACGTTGGCGACGTTGACTCAGGGAAGGTTTTTCTGAAATTTTGTTCTGATTTTTAGCCCTTTCCACATATGTTTTTTCAATGTTTGATGCACCAATATGTTGCACTTTGAGACACAGTTTTGAGACACAGTTATTTATTTATTTGGGATAAAGTGGAAAACTGTACATGTATTTCCCATGTTATTTTCCCATAGGGAAAACTCATGTGATCCATTGTTTTCAGCTAAATTTTGGTCATTCAAAATTGATATCTTTTAAACCCCTGCATGAATCATATTTTCATTTAAAACGCAACAGAGTGATCGATGCAACAAACATTGAAAAACAGGTGTGGAAAGGGCTGGAAATCAGGACAACATTACAGAAAAAACATGTTGATGGGGTGCAAATTTGCACCTTCCCTGACTTAAAGTCCAAATTATTTTATAATCTCTATGATTGCTTGTCCTTGAGTTAATGCATTGGCCTAACATACACTCCCCTCCATAAGTTTGGCAACCTTTTTTCTCCATTGAACTACGTGTTAAAGCCTCTTTACGTTTGAATTTTTATTTACTTAACCGGCGATGAAATAACTTATAATATTGATGGAAACGTAACTTGACTTTTTTTCCAATACCTCCAAATTTTCTCAATTTT